TTAGCAAAACTCCTGGGCGCAGTGTGGGAGACGGAACAGGTTCCAGCTGAATAGTGTGAATCGGTGATCATACCGATCTACACGAGGGGCGAAAGGTCCTCTTGTGAAAACCACAGAGGAATTAGTTTAATCAACACTGCCTTTAAACTTCTCACCGGCATCACACTGCGTCGATTGTCTCCCGCACGCGAAGAGTGCACGCGTGAGAACTAGGCTGACTTTAGACCTGGTCGAGGTTGTATCGACCACATCTTCACTCTTTGCCAAAATCTGGAGCACCGACATTGGTTTTGTAGATCCACCATCTCTGTCTTCCTGGATCTGAAGGCAGCTTTCGACTCAGTCGACCAATCTAAACTCTGGCGCTGCCTTTTCTGAAGGGTGTGTCCGAGAAGTTGATCTCAATATTACGAATCGTCTATACTCATAGCTGAAGTCGAGTCCGAGCTTACGGCACGTTTTCACCTGAGTGCACCGCGGTGTTCGACAGGGCTGCCCTCTCTCCTTTTTCATTCAACTTTGTTATAGATTTGATTATGGAAACNAAACAGCCCTATCCTCGTGCGAGGATAGTGGCATCGATTCACTCACAGGTGGCAGGCTGTCTGATCTAGATTATGAAGAAAATATTGTGCTACTAAATCAAGATCCAGGTAAGTCGCAAGCTTTTCTGGATAGTTTAGTGCTAATGTAGCCATGTTCGGTATGCGTTTTGCACCTTCAAAGTGTAAAATGTTACTACAAGACTGGGTTGGTCCAGCACCAAATTCACTCTCACTGGGGAAATAATAGTGCAGGTGGATAAGTTTTGGATTTTGGGCAGCTATATCTCACCCGGTGGACGCATCACGATGAATTGTCAGCTCGCATACAGAAAGCTCGGTTGGCATTTGCCAACTTGAGACATCTGTGGCGCCATCGTGACATCCGGCTATCCGTTAGGGGTCTACTGTATGCTGCGGCAGTTGGGCTAGCTTTGCTAAACGGCGCAGAAACTTGGTCAATAAAATAGGATAAAGATAAACTGTTGATGTTCCAACATCGCTCTCTACGTTGCATTGTACGAATCTGGTGGGGTAGCCGGACGAGCAATGCTGAAGTTAGCCGCAGAGTTTTGGGTAAGCGCGGTCACTCAATGGAGCAAGTGGTCAACCTCCATAGATTACCTTTGTTGGGGCATGTCACCAAATAAGTTGCCACGGCGAGTGATGTTTGCCGAGGCAGGTATTGGGTGGCATAAAGCCAAGGGTGGTAAAGTTAAGACCTGATATGAGGGTATGAAAATCCTGACAAGAAGCCTGGGCCACATAGGTCCCGTTAGGCTCCCTGGCTGAGGACCTCGGGATGGTCGTAACCGATGGATAGACTCACTGAGTGATATGGTTGGGTGTCGTGTTAGGTGGGTCACAATTGATGTCGTAAGTCTCCGAAGTGCTTGACATCTGTAGAGAGCCAGCCTCGTTTGATGGTCGATTGAGCAGCCCGTTGAACACTTCGACGGGTTGCTCAACCGACCATCAAACTAAGCTGGCTCTCTACAGATGTCAAGGAGTATGGAGACTTACGACATTAATTGCGACTCATCTAGCACGACAGAAATCATCAATGCAGTCACCTCTCTGAAAAACAGGAAGGCCCCTGGAGAAGACGGGATACTACCAGAGCTATTCAAAGCTTGCCTAGCAACTCTGATCGATCCACTGTACTCTCTTTTCCACTCCAATTGGGA